AAGGAAGGAAGGAAGGAAGGAAGGAAGGAAGGAAGGAAGGAAGGAAGAAATTGTCCAAGGTCATCCTAGAAAAAACACACTGGGATCTGATGTAGTTCTAAGGTATCTGCATAATTTCCCAATTGTTATTACTTGCCTTTGTACATTTCTTGCAAAGTTGTGAGGCTGGCATTAAATGATTGAATCTAGTATTACTGCAAAGTTATACATTATGATAAGAAACTGATACTTTCAAGAATAGGCTTGTTCCCAAAAATATATGAAATCTGTGTGTGTGTGTGCGCGCGCGCGTGCACAAATGTGTGGCATTAATGGGTAAAGTTATAACATCATATGTGTATAGCAATAGCACTTATATACCATTCCATAGTACTTTACAGCACTTTCTGAACAGTTTACAACATCAGCATATTGCCCCCAACAATCTGGGTCCCCATTTTACTGACCTTGGAAGGATGGAGCAAGATTATTCTTATCTGAGCACTTGGGATGGATTTAATCAGAATCAGAATAGAGCTGGAAAGGACCTTGGAGCTCTTCTAATCCATCCTCCTGCTCAAGCAGGAGATCCTATGTCATTTCAGACAAGTGACTGAATAATGAATGTTGTATAATGTTATATAGTAAGTGGCGGTAGAAGCAGTAGACTTCTACTAGGTATAGTCCCTCTTTTTCTGTTTCTTGCCCATTAAAAAGTAGGCCTCACTGTTGTTATCATCAAAATTTAGACTGACATTGGGCTATAAGTCAATTTCATTCAGTCTGTAAAAAATAAATTTGAAATTGAAATTTGAATGACACGTTGACCACCAAGTCAATCTACCTGCTTCCTCTGCCTGTATCCATCCAATTTTCTTGAGTTTGCTCTGGTTTTCTTCCTAATCAAATCAGATATATTTTAGCACAGCAAGTTCTGCAAACTAAACAAATGTGACTGATATATGGTTCAGGGAGTCACGTGCATTCAGAATATTGGACTAATTCAGCAAAAGCTGTGTTTGAGCTTGTTTATCATGCTAACTCAGCCATTTTGTGAAACAACAGGTACAAGATTGTCACTGAACAAATGAGGTCAGTTTCTGTACTAGACAGGCTTCTATGAAATATCTTTCTCCTCTGAGAGAGGTGGAAGCCCCATTGAACTTCCAGAGATTACAATGTTATCTAGGTAGGACAGTTTTCCTGGCCTGATGCCCTACACTTGCCCTCCTCATCAGCACCTATGTTCTGCCAGACAGTTTGGGCCCTGGCCAAGTAAGCATTCAGTATGTTGGGAAGGCATCAAGTTAGGAAAATCTTTTCTCTCTCCCAGAGAGGTCAAAATTTGCTTTATGTATGATTACAATTAGACTGCATTTGATTTGCTTATTGTACCCCATAACTGCTATTAAGTGTTGTACCTTATGATTCTTGACTCTTGACGAATGTATCTTTTCTATTATGTACACTGAGAGCATTTGCACCAAGACAAATTCCTTGTGTGTCCAATCACACTTGGCCAATAAAGAATTCTATTCTATTCTATTTTGATCTTGAATCAAATGACAATCCGTATTTTGTGTGGCTTTTGTTTTCCTTCCATGTACACTGAAATGATATTTAAAAGAGCTCAGATTCTGGAGCAGGAAGAACAGTTCCACAACACGGCAACATTCCTTTCTGCTGGGATGCTTGTAGATTTCCCAGTGTAACCTCTAT